TCTGTGGTGACTACGTAGCATGCCGTATACGGTTACGACCACAGGTAAACCGTGACAAGGTACTGCAGTCGGGTTTTTTACTGGGAACACAGCCCTACAAAGAGACATGTGGAGACAAACACAAAACAAGACACAGGGGATGATGTGGATAACACCAGTTATGACTATTGACCAGCGAAGGTCGTCAAATAGTACCGGCATTTGATGACTCCCTGCTGTTGGTCTATTGCCTGCATGCAGGTGTTCAAATAAACGGCTTGACCTTCAATGCAGTGAGTGCCACGCAGACATCGGGGAGTGCTGGTGTCTTCGAGTGCACCTTCGCAAAGCCGTGCTTTGTCGGAATGAGCGACGTGGACATACGGCCTGCAAAGGCAGGCATTGCCAACGAGTTCAAATGTCGCCATACCCGGGGCTACACCTATGGTGCTATCTCGCCATTGTCTTGCCTGGAGAAGGCGACATTGCCTGATGCCGTGGCAGAGAGGTTTTCAAAGACGTTTTGAGACTGCCGGAGGTTGCGAAGAGAGTCCGATGGTGTCGAACAGCATAGGAATATTCTGTGTGTCCTTCGCACAACCCCCCCCCCCCCCTTCAACACACACACACATCCACGCGCACGCACATAGACACACACACACACACACACACACACACACACAGACACACACACACACACACCCACACACACACACACACACACACACATGCACCCCTAGTAGTAAACCTCCCTCTCCCAGCCGTTAGCTACATGTATAATTACTGTGATGTGACCTTTCCGAGTTTGGTATCTTTCAGTGGCTACTAAGATGTAGGAGTAATTTGGGTGGTTGGTTGGTTGGTTTTTATTTTACTTCGCACATTCAAACGGGATGACGACCCAATAAAATGATGGCGAAGGCTTAGCCTAGAAATGGCTATGGAAGAACATAGTAAGAGATTAGGATACTAATATGTTAATTGCGAGTAAACGGGGGGGGGGGGGGAAGAGAGAGAAAATACGATGTATCTGTAATACTACGTGGGGATTACTGAACTGCACGGGGAGGGAGAGCAGAGCGATCAGCAGCAACTCGAACTACTCCCTACAGGCGTATGGTACACATCATGCTTAAACTCAGGTAGCCGGGTACTTGTGCGGACCTCCCCAGGGCGAGCGTTCCACAGCAGAGCACCAGCAACAGAAAATCTCGGCTGACCGCAGCGGCTACGGTTTGCCTAAGCAGGCCATTTGACTGCTGATGGCGGGTAGGGATACCTTATGCCGGGGTCAGAAGCTGGGCGAGCACAGGGCTGGTGCGGGCGTGGATGCATCGCCAGATGGGGATCAATTTTTTCTGTTTGTATAGCTCGCTGACACGGTACAGGGAGTGAGCAGTGAGCAGCGCTAGCGGCCGCATGGCTGTCCGGGGCGGGTTGCCATCGATACAGCCGATGGCTCTGTGTTTGCGCGTTTTTCAGTCGTTTCAGTTGACCCTCTCGCATTGCAGGTGAAAAGCAGCAGGAGCCATAAAGCAGGTCGGGCATTATGACCGCCTTCATGTACACCTGACGAGAGCGTCTTGATAGGCTTCGGTGTGCGTGCCACAGGGCGCCAATTTTCTTGGCAACCTTGGTGACCACATGGTTTACATGGGTGTCCCAATCTAGGCGATTGTCAAGGTGAACGCCGAGGTAGCGCACAGAAGACGCTGAAGGGAGGAGACAGTCGTCGCTTTTGACTGTTACTTCCTGCACATGCTGCTGCTGGGGGGAGATAGTCAGAACCTTGCTCTTGGTTAATTTTGTGCAACGTTTCGCGCTAGTCACATGACCGACTTGCATGGCCCCTACATGTAAACCCCTCACTAATTCCTATGTAGGAATTAGTGAGGGGTCATTCTCATTCAACTCTGCCAGCTGGTCAAATCATAATAATACATGTAGGATCAAAACTGGCGATGATAATAATGACAATAACGGATATCATAAAACAGTTTCCATAGTGCAGTGGTCACACGCAAGGACATGCTCAAGTGCCGGCTCTGATGTTCGCAACAGGCATGCATCACCGCAATTGGCCAGTAGTAGTAGTACCGGTCGTATTATTATTATTATGGGGAGTCCCAACAGGCATGGCCTTGTTACAGGCAGGGAGTAGTACTGCTCCCTGGCTACAGGGTACCCTAGGCCACAGTCGCAACTATTCCTTGCTGCTGCTCATTGCTGGCTAACTCAAAATCGTCCAGAATGGACCAGACACAGACATTACTTCGAAGTAGTATTGCTTACCAATTATAACGCCAGGTAGAGATAGTAGTGTTCTTCGATGTACACAGAAAGTCTCTCTCTCTCTCTCTCTCTCTCTCTCTCTCTCTCTCGCACTTTCTCTCTCTCACTTTCTCTCTCTCCCTCCCTCCCTCTCTCTCTCTCCGAGTCTCTTTACCGGACCCGTAACACCAGGCAACTCCCCATCTCATTAATTCTGTTTCCTTTTATCACTCCGTGATACTTGCTCATTTCCTTTATCTGCTCTACTTAATTTTTTGTATTTGGTGTTTGGTCCTGCCGCTGATCCCAAGACCCATGGTCGGGGGAGGTAGGCCCAATTAACCAGCACGCTGCTCCCGCTTCCCGCTGTATTGTCATGTCTCGTCCTTGGTTCTGTCTTCCCATTCCGTGGTCTGCTGGACTCGACTGTGTATAAATTCAGTATAAAAAAATTAAACAAATTAAAAAACTAGCACGGACACTGCCCGCCGGAGCCCGTAATAGTGATCCCCGATCGTTCCCCCATGCCACGATCCAAGACTGGAATCGTCTCCCATCTGCCCTGCTACACAACCTTCCCACGCAGAAGGGAATGCAGGCATGCAAGGAAGGCCTACAAGTCTCTCCGCGGTCGAGACTGGCACTCAGCCACAGATGCCCTCTGAAGCCTCCCTGAACACCCTCTCCGCTTGCACCCTGGCTCCCCCTTTTTACTCTATCACATGTATCATCTTTCCATTTTTCACCCTCTATACAAATGTACTCCCCCTCCCCTCCCCTGTGCCTACTCCTCCCCACTTTTGGTGCACTGAAGTGTCGCTGAAGCCGAAACCTCAGGTCGGCGGAGATGCTCCAGTTTCACGACCACAGTTGCGTCTGCAGCCACCGCTATCATGCAGCATTCTGTTCTCGAGGTTCGTGGTTTCTCGTAAAAAAAGTATAGCACCATCATTGGCATAATTCCAGCATAATGTAGCATAATCACTGGCATAATTTGGGCATAATGGAAAGCATGGTTCAGCAATTTACAGAGCATAATCCGCCAAGGGCTGGTGAGACATGATGGGCAAGTTGACATACAGCGGCGTGAACCCGCCTCTCCCTATGGCTATGCTGATGATGCGGGGCTGGTTGCCGCTAGTGATTCAATGATGCATAACATTGGTTCCCTTGCCGATGAGCCGGATGAGGGGTGATGCTGGAAACACTGTGCATTGAGCTAGAGCCGTCACCCTGGTTGTGTTTCTCAACACAATTGTCAGCCGGTGGTAACGCGGATGTATTACTTACAGTTTAACGTTTAATACTTCACTTTTAGTCACCCCATCATCATGGCATGGCCCAGTGCCGCGGTGCTTTCTTGCAGGTTTGCCGAGTGGAAGGATCGCGACGTGCATGATTGTGTAACAGCAGCCCTAGACATGCGAACACTGGGGTGTTCAGTGTTCAGTCTGTTCAGTCTGTTGCAGGGCGTAAATAATAACTTGCTCACTCGACACTCGATGGGATATCATTGAGCAAGACAGTTCAGTCATGTACAGTGTAACCTGTCTAAGGCGACCGCTCAAGGGACCTTCGAAGTGTGGTCGTTGTGTGCAGGTGGCCGCCGTATCCCAGGGTCATTTGACTGGAAATACAGCAGTATCCCTTGGTCCTATTCGTAGTGGTTCTCTAAGGCAGCCGTAGGCAGGTGGTCGCCTTAAAGGGAGTGGTCGCCTTGACAGGTTCCACTGACTGTAAATCTGCTCAGCACCGGTCCACTCTTTGTGTGACAGTCCCCTTAATCGTTTTCTTTGCTGTATACATGACTGTATTGTCACGTTGTCGTTGTTGTTGTGCTCATGTCATGTGCATGCATGCATGTATGTGTGTACATGCACTTGTATGTACTTCAGGAGTCAGTATCTACGCGATAAATTTCATGACAACCAGTGCAACGCAAACGTCCGGTCAGGCGGGCCAGTTCGACTGCAGAGCGGACAACCCGTGCGTACTGACCCTGACGGACGTGGACATACGACCAGCGCAGCCGGGCATAGGCAACGCATTCAGATGCCACAATGCCCAGGGATCTTCAGGTGGAACCGTGTCACCTGTATCCTGTCTGGAGAAGCCCCACCCGCCTGGGAACTGAACCAGTAGTGACAGTACAGCAATAACTATGTAACCCTATTACAAGACTTAGTGTTGGACAACCGTCTTCTTGGAAAGCACAATACCCGACTACAACATGCTAGTAGTACAATGCTGGCAACTGAAATCCGACCCCCTGAGCGGTGCGCGCTCACATCGCGAAGAGTGCCAAAGACCCACCACACGGGATAGTAAAACTACGAAAATAGAGACCGCTAGAATGTGAACTCATCGCTCAGGGGGTCGGATTTCAGTTGCCAGCACTGTAGTATCGTCTATACATGATAAATTGCTACTATTATTATGTGAACTCTCATTACACTGGTATGCAGTATTACCTTCCAGTTCCACATAGTCATTAGTCTAGCATGGTGTCATATATTTATCTCAATTCAGTGTTTTCCGAAGAATAAAAAAAAAAAAAAAGTATCGTCTAACTCTCTGGTCTATGTTATTACCTGTAGCTTTCTACAATGTAGAAAGCTACAGTTTTTTTGTTGTCGAGGATAGGCCTCGACCAAATATGCTTGCGCATATTTCCGCATATTTTGTGAGACAGTTGATATTATGGCATATTGAGCAACAGAGGGAATATTGGAATGAAGGCAGCATATAATTCAAATATTCTGAAGAAAATGAGGGCAAAACATTCATATTATGGACAAAATGCGTTCAGAAATGCCTTTTATGGATGAATTTGGAATGGTTGAGACGTTTGCTACATTTCCCCATGGATCAACACTATCGTTACGGTTGCTGACTTGCTGGGGACACATCCCAGCCATACTATTCCGCATGTGTTTTTAATTTGCACCATAAGCATGATAGCCGTGAAGCCAATGAATATTCCAAGGTTGTAATTTTACTGAAATGATCTACACTTTCTGCTTATGTCGAGCATATTTTGGCATATCTTTTTGCATATCTTGCTTAGCCTTTGGCATATTGTGGACGTTTTCCCTGATATGCGACGAGCATAATATGCTCTTTTTTTAGCATATTTGGTCGAGGCCTAGTCGAGGGATATAGTCACATAGCTCGTACACATCTTCGTGACGCATCCCTTCCCCTCATTGCAACTGTCCGCACCTGAGCATTCCAAGTAAGTTGGAAGGTTGTTGGTTTGCGCTTCGTGGACGTGTTGGAGCTAGGTGTCAGGTCGTCGAATATCTCAATATCCTTGTCAGTGTTGTGCCTTGTTGTCGCACTATCTGACTGTATATTACTAGTATCTCGTTACCTTGGTTACCTTGGTTACCTTGGTTACCTTGGTGGACTGTTAGTCATACCAAGTAACTAACAGTGTAGGTGCTTTCGTCTTATCTTATCATTGAATATTGGCCCACCATCCGAGTTTAAATAAGCGCATCTTTTGTAGGAATGGACTCAGATGGAGAGCCAAGGTTTAATTTATACAAAAGAGAAAGACCAAGGAACTACAAGTTACGCTATACTGTCCACTAACACCACCAGTTACTAAACAATCAGCTCATGCGATAACATTGCACGACACTGACCGACGGTGCGCATCCAAGATGTGCTAGAGCTGTTACTGTGTTAGCCAGTTAGTTGTAGAACGTCAGTACCGTCGGTCAGTGTCGTGCAATGTTATCGCATGAGCTGATTGTTTAGTAACTGGTGGTGTTAGTGGACAGTATAGCGTAACTTATAGTTCCTTGGTCTTTCTCTTTTGTAGTTTTCTTTTACTGAAGATGTGAGACTGTGTGGTAAGTTTGTATAAGGAATTGTTCACCCTGAGGAGAACCGAATCCACTGCATCATGAGCGCTCGAGCGATGCTGGTGAAAGGTGTACTGTGCGGTAGGTCGGCAGCCCTTGGCTGATTAGTGCTCGAAAAAATTGGCAGATTCTGCTCGAAAAGCAGTGAACTGATTGGCAGAAGCATGCAACGCCTATGGCAGGTACTTCCTTGAATTCTGCTGCAGCTCTATTTCTTTATCCACACACCAAACATGACACCAAGCATGTGTAAAATGCCGTCGTACACTGTGTATACATGTACATTGTGTATACATGTACATTGTACCAAATTTCCCTGATGAATGTCTCTAGAAAACTTGTTAGGAAATTTTATCATTCATATTGTATTGTAAAACAAAGAAGAAACACATGAGAACGAGTTATGCAGCAACTTCTCTGTTTTACATTTTATTACTGGCTCAGTATCAAAGTCTCATTTAGGATTCCCAGTAAAAAGGCAACATTGCCTGTTGGGAAATCCCTAACAAAATAAGAAAAAAAAAATAATAATAATCCGAGTTCATATTTTATTCTTGTTGATTATTCTTGTTGATTACTACGTCCAATGTCCGCTTCGCTGATTCTGCTCATTGCCGTACTAAAGTACCAAATTCTGCCAATGTTTTGCCCGCATTATCCACCAAGGCCTTAAGGGCTACCACGGTAGAGAAACGGAATCAGAAAGTACACTTGCTTGATGGTGTTTTTAAAAGTAACAGCTTGATGATACGGTTGCCATGCATACTAGGCCTTGACGGATTATGCTAGCATAATGTTTCGCATAATTCCTACCAAAATCGAATAATCGCATAATTCGAGGCAAATTGCATACGAATCGCATAAAATTGTAATAATCCGCCTGTTCGCATCAAATTCCATACAGTTGTACATGTTCTACAAGTACAAGTAGATGCACTAGGAAGTTGTAGGTTTACGACTCCCTTGATAACATGTCCAGTCCACAACAATCAGTGATGGTCGTAGCTACAATGTAGGTCGGACGGTGCGTTGACCCCGTTGAACTTTTGCTACTACAGTACAACGCCCTCTACAAAAAAATTCCCTTGTTATTTTGCACAGAACCATTATGCATTAGCAGCATATGTGAGCATAATGCGGCATAATATGATAGCTTTTAGCATAAAAATAGCATAATTCTGCAATTTTTTCAGCAATGCGAAAAGCATAATTTCACGAAAATATTAGCATAATCCGTCAAGGCCTAATGCATACCGGTACCAAACGTTGCCTAGAGCAGAGCTACATGTAGAAGGCCTGGTCTTGCAGACTCTAGGCCCACAAACATTCATTTTCACCGCAAGGAGAACCCCCCCCCCCCCGGATAGGCCACGCCTGATGGTTATGGTTATCAACGTATCGCGGTTGTTTTTATTCGCAAAATAGGCTCCGGCGGATTATGCTCGCGAAATCATGGAATTATGCTTTCATGGATGCTCGCAATATGCTCGCAAAATCCTCATATTATGCTTTGGGATGCGGGGATACATATTCATTTTGTTGTACTTATGGAGCTTCAAGGTTCGGAAAATTGCGTTATCGTACTTGCACTGAGTAGCCATAAGTACAGGAAAATACACGAGTACTAGTATCCCCATACCAAGGTGTCCATATAAATTATTCTATAGATCGACATAGAAAAGAGAAAACATTACTTCTTCTATTCATTAGTTGACTTCTTTTGTCATCGCTTTTTTCATTGCCAACATGTCAACCTCACCCTGCGAATAATCAGCCAATCTTTCCCGCAGCTCCACCTCTCTTTCCCGCAGCTCCACCTCTCTTTCCATCACGACCGATAATCAACCATGCCTCCTTAGTTGTCGATAAGATTATAGCCTGCGCATAGCCACGGCTGCTAACATCCAAAGGTCATGACTTCGTATCATGCATAATGTACCGGTACATGTACGCGGAGTTTTGCGGACCACCCGTCGATATCTCGAAATGCCTGGTAGCATAATCATTTGAAACACGACTGCATCACCATGGAAATGTCAAGTTCAGACGTGATTTTAAACAATGCAACACAATATTGTGGAAAGGTCACAACACGAGACAAGATCAAAAGGAAAGCTTTACAATAATAATAATAAAACGTAGCCTGTAAAATGTTAAAGGGGAAGTTAGGCCAAAAATTAAATTTTCACCAGTTGTAGTCTTCGGGGTGCTGAGTCGAATGGTCGTGGTCCGAGGAAGCTGAGACGCTCCCTTCCTACTTGAATCCCAATCGAACTCGCGTACTTCCACCGAAACTGGGTGACTGCGCCCTACTTGTTGTGAACCCTCTGGTTCTCTAAAGTATCAGGAACGAACGACCCCACACGGCACGAGGACAACTATTTTATTCTCAACAATATCTTTCACTTCCATCGACTAACAACAATGAACAATGAATGGAACAACTGAATGAACTGAACTAACTGAATAACTAACACTAAAACCACCAGGTAGTTATAGCGTGAAAATGACAGCGTATATGAGAAAAGCATACACATACAACATACAACTACAGCGCACACAGCAAACCGCACATAGCGCATGTAGCGTATACTACGTCGTAAACATCAGCGGTACGGCGGAGTCGGGATACAGCTGCATTGGAACGAACACAACGTCACAAGCGAGAAGGCCTTTCACTCTCGAGAACTTGTGGTTTCACAACATTCTCCCCACCAAAGGGCTTCTCACCGCCGTACAACAACCCACAAGTCAAACGATTTGGGGCTTACTACGCGTCATCTGCTGCTGCGGTGGTGGCCATGGTAGAATATCACTAATGTCCACCACTTCAGACAACTCGACATCGCGAAGCTCGCCGCTGTGGGCTGTCGCACACGACACTGTTACCGATCCACTTCGACATGGGGCGGACGCTGAACCAGACAACACACAACCGATACTTTTACCAAGCTCGCCGATGTGGGCTGTCATACACGACACGGTCACTGGTACACTGCTTTGATCCGGGGCGGGCGCGGAACCCGAGAACACACATCCGATCTCTGTGTTCCACACAGTCTCGCCGTTGACCTCTTCCGTGCTAACCAGTAGTATCGCCCTTCTCGTTTCCTTATCTTCTACGCCTTGCGCTTTTATGTCTTGCGCCTCTAACTCTTGCGCCTCTAACTCTTGCGCCTCTATCTCTTGCGCCTCTATCTCTTGCGCCTCTAACTCTTGCGCCTCCAATTCTTGCGCCTCTAACTCTTGCGCCTCTAACTCTTGCGCCTCTAACTCTTGCGCCTCTAACTCTTGCGCCTCTTGCGCCTCTACGTCGTTCGGCCGAGACTCCAGCTGCTTCTGAGCGTCTCCGACCGATGTCACCATGCACTGCACCGACCCAGTGGGCCTTGGATCTGATCCTCCCACTGGCTTCGAATACTCTTCTGACCGCTGCTTGTCTGTAAGCAAAGTCTTACACGCCTTGTCCGGCGTCCTTCTGGGCGAGGCAAGCAAATCTCGCTTTGCTTCCTCATAATATGTACCGACGGCGATGCGCTCGGACATCTTCTTGAGCTTTTCGTTAAACTCTGTGCGGAGCGCACACTCTTGCCTTCTAGCACTGCGCTCTTCTAACTCCTCGCTCTGTCGGAGCCTCTTCTCCACGTATTCTCTCAACCTATCGCCTTCAAATCCATACCGAATTCCGTTGGCGATAAAGCTGGCTTCGATGATCCATAGTTCCTGTGCCATGCTCGCTTCGTATCCTGGCGTGGTCGCCAAATGTTGTGAACCCTCTGGTTCTCTAAAGTATCAGGAACGAACGACCCCACACGGCACGAGGACAACTATTTTATTCTCAACAATATCTTTCACTTCCATCGACTAACAACAATGAA